ATTTAATGGCTACGCGAAGGTATTTTCTGATAAAGAAAAGAAAAAAGGAAAATGAAAACTGTCTGTGTCTCGATGAAACCCAGATATTACGTCAAAAAGCTGGACGGGTTTATTTCTGGCAACAAGAGGCTTTAATGCTGTGGCAAGAGAGTAAATTATGATGGAGGATATATTGGCTTAGTCGGGAGAGTTCACACGAAGGCAGTGGTCTCTTTCATTTTTTCTTTTTTTATTTTTCACTTCCATCTGTTAAAAAAGTCAAAACGCGAAGAAAGATGTGAAGTTCGTTTCACAAGTGCTGGAAAGCTACTACAAGAACTCAAATCCCAGCATATTCTGAAAAAGAGCTCGTTAATTGATAAACTAAGCATTGTATTGCTCCCACAAAGCGACAATACTCGAAACTTCAGTTTTTCAAACTTCGCTGCGGTCGTTTTCGCTTCTTTTATAAACTCATGGTTGATTATTAACCAAGTTTTTCCTTTTGTTCGACGATGCAGCAGCGTAAGCAAATCTTTCAGAAACTGGGAAGCTCCTATCTCATGCCAAGGTTACATGCAAGCGCTCTTCAGCTTCCTGCAAATATCGCGGAGATCATTTGGGTGAAGATAGAATAAAACGGTCGTGTTAGAAATCTGACTCAAGTGTGAAACAAATCCTGATTCCCGGCGAAGATTCCAGCCTCAGACACTTAAAGCAGTCCCTGACAAACTACGACTACACTTTTTTTCTATTTCATTAATATTTTTGTTCAATAATGCAGTTTGAAAACTGTTTGTATTCCGTGTGGTAAATGAAGCATACCGTTTCCACCCAAGAAAGCGTTTTCACATTCCACCCAACTGTCTACATTTCGCTGTTTACATTTGTTTTCTCACTCGGTACTCAACTTTCCATTTCAATCGTTTTTGTAACTCCAGTTGCATGCACCGATAACTTGAAAATTATTCATGAATGTGTTCAAAAGGCAATATATATCTTGATGTCCCCACTTTGCAACTTGAAAAGTTTAGTAACTCTGGCCGTTATAATTCAGTGAGTATTAGAAATCAGTGAAACGAGTTTTTGCCGATAGGATCGCAAAAGTGTTCGAAAGAAAGTAGGAGACTAACAAGGGATCCGACTCTTGAATAATTGATCAGTTTAAACAAACAAACCAAAGCGTATGGACCTGACTAAGATGTAAAATTTCAGCTTGGTCGTTGAATAAGAAAGATCTCTTATCATCAGTGTTGGAGAAAGAGCTAGGCTTAGGGACGCAGACAAATTTGAAATTCTATACCTCGCACTTCCTTTGAATAAATATTTCATAAGGAATCTGTTAGATATTGGATCACTTTATTGGCAAGCCAACGATCCAATTGGAAAGTATCGTTTTCAACAAAACCTTATACTGTCCAACTCGAACAGCTGAAAATTTTCATGCGCTTTGCTAAAAACTCTCTAAGTTGAGTTTTGCGGAAAAACTTCTCATTTATGACAGGTTATGGTAGGTTTTCTCACTCGGTACTCAACTTTTTATTTCAATCTTTTTTGTAACCTAACTTGCATGCAAGGATAACTTGAAAATTCTTAATGAATGTGTTCAATTAAAAAGCAATATCTTGATGTCCCCACTTTTCGGCTTAAAAACAAGGAGTCGGAGTCTTGAATAATTGATCACTATAAATAATTTTTCAACTAAACAAAGCGTTTGGACCTGACTAATGTTAAAAATTATGTCATGCAGGACCGCAAATAACTTTGCAGCCCGCAAAAATTAAACGAAGTATTCCGGCATCTTTTCAAGTTCTATGCTTTGCCTTACTGGAAACTCCAACTCGAAAATCCGGCTCGAAATCCGACTCAAAATCCTAACTCGAAGGAGTGTTTGCTCAAAAGCAGAATTTCGAGTTCGTATTACAGTCGCCACAATTGGTTCTCGATCGCTGTTCAAGTGATTGCTCGATAACGGAGAAACTCCAAATTCTAACTCGTTAACAGCTCATTCAGTTACTAACTATCCTATCAGATACACCTCTAACCAGCCTTTCTCCATTATATTTATTTGATATTGCATTTCCTGACCATATTGCAAATCGAGCTAATGGAAAAAACCGCAATAATATAATGACAAAATACGTTTTGGTATTAAAAAATTATCCGTTTTCTTGGAATTTGGGGTCCAGTTTGGTAAATATATATGACTTTTTTGTGCTTGCAATTCTTAAAAAATAAACTGATGAAAATAAAGTCAAATTACAAACATAGAAGCATGCATGTTGATCGTGAACTCACGAAAAACCAGTCTACAGATTAAAAAGAAGTTTAGGGTAAGTTTTAGCCTAGAAGATTATTTGCTTTTCCTTTTCAGGGAACGTTTTTTTCCCAAAACATGCGTTGAGCAAATGTGAGTATTTCCATAGTAACTTTTGACCTGTTTCTTCATTAGAAGGTGCCATAGGAATCACTCAGAACTTTTTCCATAGTCCTGAAAGGCTGCAGAAATGTTAACGTGAAGTTTCTTGACTGATTGAAAACTTCAAATTGTGATAAATTTTAATAGCCATTATTCTCCTGGGTAATTTCTCATTAGGCAGGTACAACAACAGGATAATCGTATCCAATGTGAATAAGTTCCTTCCCACCTGTTAATAAGGTCGGACAGCACCTGCGTTGTTATCAAATGCAAGAGCTGCATTAACATACAGACAAGAATCGCCAGCAAAGAAAACGGTAGGAAATAATTTTGCTTGGGCTTAGTTTTAGAGTACTTCATTTACAGATAGAGCTATGTCAGAATGGTATGGTTACGCAAAAGTATTTTCTGGTAAAGAAAAAAAAAAGGAAAATGAAAATAGTCAGTGTCTCGATGAAACCCAGAAATTATGTTAAAAAACTGGACGAGTTTATTTCTGGCAACAAGAGGCTTAATTACTGTGGTAAGAGAGTAAATTATGATGGAGGATATGGCGGATTAGCCAAGAGAGAAACGTGAACTAAAGAAAGATGAGAAATTCGTTTCACAAGTACTGGAAAGCTACTACAAAGACTCAAATCCCGGCATAATTGTGACCCTCCACGGGAGTTCAAGGAATAAGGTGAACGCACGCACACGGTACGCTCGCACGCTAAAACAAAAGAACTAGCTTTTAACACGTTAGGTGCGTGTTAGTTACTTGCCTCATTAACTTCGCAGCCATTCTCTTGCTTCGCACGGTAGAAGCAAAGGCGCGTGTTAAGATCTTGCTCGCAACTTTACACGATACAAAACAATGACCGTGCCAATTTTGGAACACGCCTCTTAAAGTCACAGTTGCTTTCGATTCGTACACGGAGCTGGAAATCTGTTACTAAAGGATTCACAAAGATTCGATACTGGGCTTATTAACTGCGTGAAGCAATAAGGATTTATATTTTACAAGGTAAGAATTAATTAAAAAAAAAGTAATTCATGTGTTCAAAGCGAGCTCTTCTGGACCCTGTGAAAAACGCCGTACTCATTGAATTCCTTGTGAAAATCCTGAGGGAAAGAGCCGTGATTTGCCGTGAATGTTTCTTTTTTTTATTACAACTTTCGGATAGGACAGACGATCTTCCGCATTTCCGCTTATATTCTGTAAGTGATATACTTTAAAACACTATTCTCACAATTAAGAAGCACACAAACACGAGTAACAAAGTGAGCTGGATTGTACAAGATAAGCTAGCGTGTTAAGGAAATAAAGTGATTCTTTCATGCCATTATCGTGCGAGCGTTTTATAACGTGTCGTGTGCGTGCGTTCACCTTATTCCCTGAAACCCAGTGGAGGGTTACATATTCTAAAAAAGAACTCGTTAATTGATAAACTAAGCATTGTATTCCTCCCACGAAGCGACTATACTCGAAACGTTAGTTTTTCAAACTTCGCCACGGTGGTTTTCGCTACCTTTATAAACTCATGATTGATTATGAACTGATTTTTTCCTTTCGCTCGACGATGCAGCAGCGTAAACAGATTTTTCAGAAGCTGGCAGCTCCTGTCTTATGCCATGTTTACATGCAAGCGCTCTTCAGCTTCCTACAAATATTTCGGAGGTCATTTGGGTGAAGATAGAATAAAACGGTCGCGTTAGAAATCTGACTCAAGTGTGAGATATATACTGAACAGCTGAAAATTTTTTGTGCGCTATGCTAAATTCTCTAAGTTGAGTTTTGCGGGAAAATTATGCATTTATGGCAGATTATATTATGTTTTCTCACTCGGATTTGTAACCCCACCTGCATGTAAGGATAACTTGAAAATTCTTGATTAATGTAATCAAGGAACAATATCTCGAATTCCCCACTTTGGAGCTTTAAAAGTTTATTAACTCTGGCCGTTATAATTGTGTGAGTATCAGAGATAAAGGGAATTTTTGCCAGAAGGATCGCAAAGGTTTTCAAAAACAAGTAGGAGACTATCATGGAGTCGGAGTCTTGAATAATTTTTTACTATGAACAATTCTTCAACAAAACAAAGCGTATGGAATAATTTTTTACTATGAACAATTCTTCAACAAAACAAAGCGTATGGACCTGACTAACATGTAAAATAATGTAATGCAGGACCGCAAACAATTCTGTAGCGTGCAAAAGTTAAACGAACTATGTCGGCATCTTTCCAAGATATTTTCTTTGCCTTACTAGAAACTCCAACTCAAAGATCCAGCTCGAAATCCGACTCAAAATCCTAACTCGAAGGAGTGTTTGCTCAAAAAGAGAGTTTCGAGTCCGTATCACGACCTCCAGTCGCCAACAATCAGTTTTCGATCGCTGTTCAAGCGACTGCTCGACAACGGAGAAACTCCAAATTCTAACTCGTTAACAACTCCTAAATAACTATCCTAACTGATACAACTCTAACCAGCCTTTCTCCATCATTCATTTCATATTGCATTTCCTGAAAACCAGTCTACGGATTAAAAAGAAGTTTAGGGTAAGTTTTAGCCCAGAAGATTGTTTGCCTTTTTCTTTTCAGGGAACGTTTTTTCCTACATCATGCGTCGAGAGGAAATGGCCAAAAAGGTCTTGTACGCAGTAGGGCTGTTCATCAAAACCGTGCTGTTATGCTGTACAGCTGCACAGCAATGGGAGGCTACGGGCCAGCCGGAAGTTTCCAAATTTGGGATGATGCTACAACGCCACATCTTCAAGAGGATCACGGGGGCTGGTCTTTCAGATGTGTGTTTGCGGGGATGCTATGCTGACGTCAGATGTCAAAGTTTCAATTACGTCTTTACGCAAGACATTTGTGAGCTGAGCAACCGAACTAAGGAGGCCAGACCAGAGGATTATGTTCCGAACCCTGAGAGATTTTACTTTAAGCGAGATTACAAACGAGGTTTGTAAAATTTTTTACTGTCTTCTTCCCTTTAAAGACATTTTCAGAGCGCAGAATTTCAACCCAAAATTAATAAATTGTGTCACATCACTTCCCTTTATTGCCTTAAGTCAAGTCGCCCTCAAATTGAGTGTCCTCGCCCCCAAGACGAACATCAAATCTTGCTTACTTGGAATACTATGCCACTATGATTGCTATTTCTTCCAGTCCCTCTCGGTTCCATTCCTGAGCTGCCTGCGGAGACTTGCCAGGAAATCAAAATGAGCGAAGGAGGTCAAGCGGTCAGCGGAAAATACTGGTTTCACTCGATTGTACCCGAGAGGACTGTTCTGGCTCCTTGTGACATGAAAACCGAAGGTGAATTTAAGTGTTTGTCAATTCACATCTTCTACAGACAAAAGTCGGTTAACCACGAGCAAAAACGTTGACAGAGATGTTATGGGTAGACTGCAACCACCTGATCCCTCCTCCCCCCATCCCAATATTCATAGAGGGAAATGAGAAAATAAAACAAAACAAAATAAAAATAGTAAGATATCTGACGGAAACAAAGCTATGAAGGAATGCTATAATCTCTCTTAAACTGATCGATTTGAGAACAAGTCAAATAGAATGAAAAAATTTCTTTTTCGACACAGAGATAATCATTCAATAGCAAATTGTTATCACAACTTTATAGTGACGAAATTTAACGAATAGGGAAGGGGAAATTTTGCTTCCTGATGGGGTCGTACAAAGCAAAATTTTGGCTCCCACCGGAAGCAATTGGTCTGATGAATCCACGAATGAGTAATAATTCAGCGAATACCCTTCTTTTTGCTTTTAAACTAACCGCAGACTATTCCGTTTTTTCAGACGTGGACGAGTGTAATTCGACCATTCCCGTGTGTGACGTCAACGCTGAGTGCGTGAACACCATCGGTTCTCACAGTTGCTCGTGCAAAGCTGGTTTTACTGGAAACGGAAAAAAGTGTGTCGGTAAGTTAGTGAAATGGCTTTTACTATTGCCTGAAGCAAGTCATTTTAAAACAAAGCAAAACCAAACCATTCCCGGCTTAATCTGGACACTCGGTTAAAAAAAATTGCTTTAATAACCGATTGGAATTATTTCCCACACCATGTCACGTTCAATTGCTTATACGGCGAGACGCTTTCGCCAATAACAGTCATTTTCGATCGACTCTTGCTCTTGAGTTCAAGCCATTTAGTTTTTTATACATTCTCTCAGATGTCGACGAATGTGCCAATAAATCGCATGACTGTGACGTCAATGCCTCCTGCAACAATACCGCTGGTTCCTATCGATGCACCTGTAATTCCTGGTACCAAGGAAACGGAACAAGCTGCTATTTTCGCGAGTTTAACTGATATTGAGATACAAGTGACCTCAGTTTGTTATGATACTCGCATTTCGCATCCTCTGTCTTTCTGTATCGTCATATGAAGCTGACAATTTTGGAAATATATTTTTTTAACATGAGTCGGTCCCGAATCGAGACCAAGATGGAATTCGTCCCAAAAACGGGCTGCATTATGACCCTTTACTCCCTAGCATCAGTACAGATATTCTCCTCACTGTTCTCTATAGATACCGTATGGTACTGCCAAGGGAAATTTATTTGACAATCAACAGCTTTATAACTTGATGATTATTTCCTTTATTCCCATGATTCTGATGTTTGGTTCAGCGGTAATACGGTGAGGAGAAATTAAATGCCAATCCCTTGAACTTTCTATACTGATCAACCTTAATTCTTAATTTTTCATTATTATCACGTTTTCATCGCGTGGTTTGCTCTAATTCTAAGAAAACATTAGTTGGTGCAAAATAACGAGGCGAGATATGATCAGGTGTACTGGGTTTAGCAATCTGGAATCTCATAAAAACACGCTTTCATCGTGTAAACACGTCTATAAGGGAGACAGTGTTTCCATAAGAGCACCTCCCAGTTCACACGGGGTCGGAAAGGCAAGTTGTGTCTTAGATCGATGTGCGTCACACAACGGTTGTCACGCTGTAATTTATAAAAACGAAAAAGCAAGTTGTAGACATTACCACCACCAAGATGACGAATGCAACATGACACCAAATCTTCAAGGTAGGGCGATCCTTACCTTTTCTCCCTTTTTCGGTTTTTCGTATAGGTGGCCTTAATAGTTCCGTTATTCTTACTAGCCTCGACTATAACAACTACACAGGTAAGCTACTTTCTTACCTAGAGCCAGTCCTCCTGAGTTCAAAATGGAGCAGGTTTGTGAAGTGTTGGCATGCTAAGACTGACGGCTGGGCGGCATCGACATTCCACAGCAACTGCGATGGGAGGGGACCCACAGTGACAATCATCAAAGCGAACGATTCTATATTTGGTGGATACACCGACGTATCATGGAGCAGTACGTATATACTGGCCGTTAAATTTTTTTTGGTGCAAGGTTTGAAAGATTTAGAGGGGCAAAGAATTAACCTTGGTAGGATTGGATCTAGCCCGGTGTCTAAAACAGAAAAAAGAAATGTCTCCTAAAGCCTGTTTCTTGAAATTCTTGGCAACGCTACGGGCCCGAAGCCATATCTAGTTATTCGAGTCGATCCATTTTGTTTCGTCTCATGATATTCTCATCGTTTGAATCTCAAAACTATCCATAACTCGATCTTGAATGTAAAAACGAAGAACGAAAAAAAGCTTTTCGGGGCTAAAGCAAAAGCAAATATCTCTCACGTGTAGAACAGATAAAGAATCGACCAGTCGTAGACTTTTCTTGTGGCAGTGAGTACATTGTAAAAAAAGGAAATATCACATTAACAACTGAGACCCCAAAGTAGACAAACTCGTCAACAGCCTGGAAAACGCGTTTGAAACGGGTTTTAACTTAAAGTCTTGTTTTTAATTTGATTTTTGATTTTCGATTTGATTTGATTTGATTTGATTTGATTTTGATTTGATTTGATTTGATTCTGACAGCCCCATTTCGTGCCTTCTCTCCGTGTTTTGTTGTACCATTAATAAAATGAAAATATGCTCTCGAGCTCTTTAAAATTTTTTCTAACAAATTAAAGTGTTCCGTTCGGCATATAAAAAAAATCATTTTTTATGGTTATCATCATAAATTTTTTTTCTCATTCGCGTAGTTTATAATGCTCCTAAATCTTTTCATTTTAGGTTCCTGTGCTTATTCTTCAGCCAGCAAAGCTTTTGTTTACTCTCTTTACAACGCCAAAGGATACAATCCTGTGAAGCTGACACAATACCGATACCAGCAATACGCAATGTACACATGTTCCTCTTACGGACCCACTTTTGGTGTAGGACATGACATCTGCATACGTGACGACGCTGTAAACAATCAGTACTCTTATACTGAATGCGGCCAGACTTACTCCAACCCCACGGGTTATTCGGGTGTAAACTGCGAATTTTTCACAGGAAGTTATTATTTTACTCCATCTAACATTGAAGTTTTCTTCGAAATAGGTAAGTTATTGTACAGAAACACTTAAAACCCCGTCGTAAATATACAATGAATATAACAAATAAACTCTAGTCCTTAGCAATGTCAGGGATTCTAAAAGCACATGCGCCGAACCATATACAGCAGCGAAATACTATTCAGGCTATTGTGGCAGCAATGCTAAGTGAATTGAATCAGTCAGTTCCGGGATATCAGTGCACATCAACTAAATCAGGGAACAAATTGATCTAGATGCCATGTTTTGCCATGAAACTGAATCGCTAAGTCGGGCTAAAGCAGACAGTTCAACCCAGCTAAACTGAACTTTTGGTTTTTGCTTTTCGTTTCCCAGTTTTATACGCACTTAAGAAAATAGTTCCTCGTGAAATATAGTTGATATGTTTTCAAAATAAATGCTCAGGAAAATTTTGAGTTAAAATGGGAACACATGGTTAGCACCTCGCCCTGTGAATAAGAACATCTGGAGCTCTGATTTTTGTGAAATACTCTCATGGTTGTGAAAGAAGAAATAATATCTTTCTCTATTCTAGAACATCTGTTATTATAATTTTCATTCGAGTTTCCTTTACGCACACAGGTGGCCTTGGTGCATCTATAATACTTGGAAGCCTGGACCCCAATAAATATTTGGGGAAGCTGATTTCGTTTTTAGACCCAGTTCTTCCCACTGCATCCCGTACTGACTTTGTTAGGTGTTGGCATGCTAAGACTGACGGCTGGGCGGCATCGACATTCCACAGCAACTGCAATGGGAGGGGACCTACAGTGACAATCATCAAAGTGAACGAGTACATATTTGGTGGATATACTGATGTGTCCTGGAGCGGAGGCAGGAATATCAAATTTTTTAAGAGGAAATAAGACAACTATATAGGATCAACTATCGTTCCTTTTGGTATTTAAGGGGGAGGGGAGAGGGTGTTGAAGGAAATTTTAAATGATGCTCCGCTGATAAGAGCGCTTAGCCTTTATTATTTTATATTAGTTTTTTGGCCATCAAGATTTCTTCACACCTATATTGTCTATAGAAATGTTTCCTATTTGATACACCTACAGAACAACATTACATCCTAACACGTCTAGTAATGACAACACTTAAAACAAAGGGATGTTTTCCTTTAAGTCTCAAAACATTTACTCGCTTTTCTTCAGAATAACCCCTCAAATCTTTCATAATTGTTTTTGGAGGTATTTCTATACCCAAACTAGTAACATATCTCCCTCCCTTTCACAAATCTCTAATCTGGAAAAAAAAACTCCCCGTCTAGCTCATGATAGAAAATGAACTGCCCCCCCCCCCTTCTCAGAGGGTCTGTGTTTTCTTCCAACTTTTTAATGTACGATCACATCGTTCTTTTATTTCAGCTGGTTCCTGCGCTTATTCCTACGCCAATAAAGCTTTCATCTTCTCTCTCTATAACGTCAAAGGATACAATCCCGTAAAGTTAACACAATACCGAAATCAGCAATATGCAATGTACAGATGTAATACGCGTGGACCCACCTTTGGGGGTGGTCATGATATCTACATATCAGACGGCTCTGGAAACAACCAAAACTCCTACACCAGATGCGGTTACACATACACGATACCCTCTGGGTACTCTTATGGTGACTGTGGTTTTTTTACAGGGGGGTCTAATTTCTCTCCAACGGACGTCGAAGTATTCTATGAAGCAGGTAATCAAGAAAAACACCCCTTTCCGAGAATAAATACTTAGTGTGGCCTGTAGAAAAATCATGTAGTGTATTTTAGAAATATTCTCAGAAAGTTGTTTTTCTAGAGTACAGATGGCTTAATTTTTCTGTCATTTCAAAGGAATGTGTAAGCTTATAAAGTCTCTTTCGCAGCATTCATTTAAGTTCGTCACACAATAAATGCACAGGGAAATATTGAGTTTAAATGGGATCACATGGTTGGCACCTCGTCCTGTGAATAAGAAGATCTGAGACTCTAATTTTTGTGAAAAACTCCCACGGTTCTGAAAAATAAACAACATCTTTCTATATTCTCGAACGTCTGTTACTATAATTTACATTCGAGTTTCTTTTACGCACACAGGTGGCCTTGGTGCATCTATTATACTTAGAGGCCTGGACCCCAATAAATACTTGGGAAAGCTGATTTCGTTTTTAGACCCAGTTCTTCCCACTGCATCCCGTACTGACTTTGTTAGGTGTTGGCATGCTAAGACTGACGGCTGGGCGGCATCGACATTCCACAGCAACTGCGGTGGGAGGGGACCTACAGTGACAATCATCAAAGTGAACGATTACATATTTGGTGGATATACTGATGTGTCCTGGAGCGGAGGCAGGAATATCAAATTTTTTAAGAGGAAATAAGACAACTATATAGGATCAACTATCGTTCCTTTTGGTATTTAAGGGGGAGGGGAGAGGGTGTTGAAGGAAATTTTAAATGATGCTCCGCTGATAAGAGCGCTTAGCCTTTATTATTTTATATTAGTTTTTTGGCCATCAAGATTTCTTCACACCTATATTGTCTATAGAAATGTTTCCTATTTGATACACCTACAGAACAACATTACATCCTAACACGTCTAGTAATGACAACACTTAAAACAAAGGGATGTTTTCCTTTAAGTCTCAAAACATTTACTCGCTTTTCTTCAGAATAACCCCTCAAATCTTTCATAATTGTTTTTGGAGGTATTTCTATACCCAAACTAGTAACATATCTCCCTCCCTTTCACAAATCTCTAATCTGGAAAAAAAAACTCCCCGTCTAGCTCATGATAGAAAATGAACTGCCCCCCCCCCCTTCTCAGAGGGTCTGTGTTTTCTTCCAACTTTTTAATGTACGATCACATCGTTCTTTTATTTCAGCTGGTTCCTGCGCTTATTCCTACGCCAATAAAGCTTTCATCTTCTCTCTCTATAACGTCAAAGGATACAATCCCGTAAAGTTAACACAATACCGAAATCAGCAATATGCAATGTACAGATGTAATACGCGTGGACCCACCTTTGGGGGTGGTCATGATATCTACATATCAGACGGTTCTGGAAACAACCAAAACTCCTACACCAGATGCGGTTACACATACACGATACCCTCTGGGTACTCTTATGGTGACTGTGGTTTTTTTACAGGGGGGTCTAATTTCTCTCCAACGGACGTCGAAGTATTCTATGAAGCAGGTAATCAAGAAAAACACCCCTTTCCGAGAATAAATACTTAGTGTGGCCTGTAGAAAAATCATGTAGTGTATTTTAGAAATATTCTCAGAAAGTTGTTTTTCTAGAGTACAGATAGCTTAATTTTTTTGTCATTTCAAAGGAATGTGTAAGCTTATAAAGTCTCTTTCGCAGCATTCATTTGAGTTCGTCACACAATAAGTGCACAGGGAAATACTGAGTTTAAATGGGATCACATGGTTGGCACCTCGTCCTGTGAATAAGAAGATCTGAGACTCTAATTTTTGTGAAAAACTCCCACGGTTCTGAAAAATAAACTACATCTTTCTATATTCTCGAACGTCTGTTACTATAATTTACATTCGAGTTTCTTTTACGCACACAGGTGGCCTTGGTGCATCTACTATACTTAGAGGCCTGGACCCCAATAAATACTTGGGAAAGCTGATTTCGTTTTTAGACCCAGTTCTTCCCACTGCATCCCGTACTGACTTTGTTAGGTGTTGGCATGCTAAGACTGACGGCTGGGCGGCATCGACATTCCACAGCAACTGCGATGGAAGGGGACCCACAGTGACAATCGTCAAAGTGAACGAGTACACATTTGGTGGATATACTGATGTGTCCTGGAGCGGAGGCAGGCATATCAAATTTTTAAGAGGGGACAAGACAATTTTATAGGATCAACTATAATTCCTTTTGGGATCTAAAGGGGGGGAGAGAGGGTGCTGGAGGAAATTTGAAAAGATGCTTCTCTGATAAGAGCTCTAAGCCTCTATTATTTCATATTGGTTTTTTGCCCATCAAGATTTTTTCACACCTATGTCGTCTATAGAAATGTTTCTTATATGATTCACCTGCAGAACAACATTACATCCTAAAACATCTAGTAATGACAACACTTAGACCAAAGGGGTCAATTGTTTTTCGTACTAGTTTTTATACCAAAACTCGCAAAATATCTCCCTCCCTTTCACAAATCTCTAAACTGGAAAAAATCACCCCGTCCAGCTCATGATAGAAAATGAACTTCCCCCCCCTTCCTCAGGGGGTTTATGTTTTCTTTCAACTTTTTAATGTATGACCACATTGCTCTTCTATTTCAGCTGGTTCTTGCGCAGGTTATTCCTACGCTAGTGAAGCTTTCATCTACTCTCTCTATAACGTCAAAGGATACAATCCCGTAAAGTTGACGCAATACCAAAATCAGCAATATGCAATGTACAGATGTAATACGTATGGACCTACCTTTGGCTGGGTATGGTCATGGTATCTACATATCCGACGGCTCTGGAAACAACCAAAACTCCTACACCAGATGCGGTTCCACGTACACGAAACCCTCAGGGTACTCAACTGGTAACTGTGGTTTTTTTACAGGGGGGTCTAATTTCTCTCCAACGGACGTCGAAGTATTCTATGAAGCAGGTAATCAAGAAAAACACCCCTTTCCAAGGATAAATACTTTGTAGGGCCTGTAGCAAAATCAAATCGCGTATTGTAGAAATATTCTCAGAAAGTTGTGTTGCTAGATTACGGAAAGCTTAATTTTTTGTCATTTTAATTTATGAGGGTATGTGTAGGCTTATAAGGTCTTTTAGTAGTATTCATTTAAGTTCGTCACGCAACGCGTTGCTTGACGAGCCTGACAGGACTTGTCTGAGTTGCCGCGGGGGTTTGTGGATATTACATTAAACGAAATTGTTACGGCCACTTGAAAGAACGGCTGAGTTAACAAAAAAATTTCAGTCATGTTTTGATGCTACTCTGGCTCAAAGATTTTAATGAATATAACCCAGACGTTACAATTCATAGACCCAATCTTTCGACACTCCTGCCTAGTGCATTCATCAGGGGTGATGATGAAGACATTAGACAGGAGTGTTGAAACGTTGGGTCTATGAATTGTAACTTTTCGGTTACATTCATTAAATCTTTAAACCAGAGTAGCATCAAACCATGTCTGAGTGTCCACCTGGTTGCTTTGTGAACTTTAAAACAAATTTCATTCTCTCTGCTGCCTAAAATACCGCCTGGTAGACAGGCTGGGGATTTTCTTACTTGCCGGATCAGTAATGTTAGATTATCATATCTAGCGACCCAAACGAGGGGTGATGAAATTATCCACTTTAGATTCAAAGGCGACACCACCAATCCAAGCTTTTGTTTCATTTATTTGGCCAACTGTAATTTTTCCTTTTCTTTTCCCACCTCAGGCCTCGGTTTGTCCGCCATACTTCGAAGTCTTGATTACAACCAGTACTTGAAGGTACTGTTTTCGTATTTGGACCCAGTCCTTATCAATAAAGAACGTAGTAGGTTTGTGAGGTGTTGGCACGCAAAGACGGACGGTTGGGCAGCATCAACATTCCACAGTAACTGCGATGGGAGGGGACCCACAGTGACTATCATCAAAGTTAACAGTTATATATTTGGTGGATACACTGACGTATCCTGGACCAGTGGTGAGTAAAAAAACAAGCAAACATCTCTCACATGTAGAACAGATAACAAATCGATTAGTTGTGGACTTTTCTTGTAGCAGTGAGTTGATCCTAGAAACAGAAAATATCACATTAACAACTGAGATACCAAAGTAGACAGACTCATAAATAGCCTGAAAGTGCGTTTGAAACGGGTTTTAACTAAAAGTCTTGTTTTGGATTTGATATTTGATTTTGATTTGATTTGATTCTGACAGCTCCATTTCGCGCCATTTCTTCTTGTTTCGTTGTATCCATTATTCATATTGGAGAGCTCTTTCTTTAGATCGTATGCTGCCTTTGAATAAAACTTCGGACCATATTTGAAATGCTTTTTCTGAAAATTGAAAATATGCTCTTAAGTTCCTTGAAATTTTCTCTAACAAATTGTTCAGTTCTAGTACGGCAAGTAAAAAAAAAAAACATTTTTATGGTTATCATCATGAATTCTGATTTTAGATATATGAAATTCATATATTTGCACTGCGGTGAAGAAACGAAATTAAGAGATCCTCGTAGCTGAGAACACTACTGAAACGAGTAGTTGAAAATAGGACCTGAAAAAAAATTCAGGCCCCTTCGGGCCCGTACCTCTGCGGTATCACAAAGGTCATGGGTTCAAATCCCGTACGGGCCTGAATTTTTTTTCAGGGCCTATTTTCAACTACTCGTTTTAGTAGTGTTCTTAGTTGCGAGGATCTCTTAGTTTCGATCATAAATTTTATTTCTCATTCGCAGAGTTTCTAATGCTCCTAAATCTTTTCATTTTAGGTTCTTGTGCTTATTCTTCAGCCAGCAAAGCGTTTGTTTTCTCTCTTTACAACGCCAAAGGATACAATCCTGTGAAGCTGACACAATACCGATACCAGCAATACGCAATGTACAGATGTTCCTCTCGCGGACCCACTTTTGGTTGGGCACATGACATCTACATGCATGACGACGCTGTAAACAATCAGCACTGTTATACTAGGTGCGGTGGCACGTACTCCAACCCCACGGGCTATTCAGCTGGAGATTGTAAATTTTTCACAGGAGCATCGAATTTCACTCCATCTGACATCGAAGTTTTCTTCGAAATAACAAACTAAACACTAAAAACTGTGCTGTCTAAGTAAGTATTGTAACAATAGAGTTAGTTTCTCCTCACACAAGGCCCAACAGAACTTGCCCTGTATTCTCTCAGTGCTTAGTCGCTTATTTACCATTTGAGATAGTTTTCTGACTGGTAGAAAATCCATAATTTATTGTACTGATAAACACATAATTTTAGTTACAAAAGCAACAGACTGCATTTTCTATTCGTTTACTAGCGTAATAAACTACGCAGTATGTTGGTAGAACACTCAAAAAGTTCGTAGATTATGAGCAGTGAATGAGTGATTTACAAACTTTCTCGTGTTCTTCTAACATCCTGTGGGGTTTGTTAAGCCAGTGAACCGATAGAAAGAGCAGTCTATTATAAAAAGACAGCGCATTTTAGGCTGGCAAGGTTGAGGGCGCCTCCATTGAGTAAACTCTGCAATTGGAATATCATGTTATAGGTGAGAAATTCTTCAGTATTGGCTGTAGAGCATTCGAAATAACAGATCTTACAATTAGGAAACACCCAAGTTGTAAGCCCTTTCTCCATTCAAGATGAGGCATTTGTAGCGCGCACCGCCATCGTGCGCTTCTATTTGCGTCGCACGTGCATTTTATTTTCGTTGCACGTGCATTTCATCTGTTTCACCAGTTAAGTAATGTGAATATTTTAAACTTTCTTTAAGTTAGATTAATATTATGTGTGCATCATTTTAATCATTGGTCAATAATTTTTTTGGTTGAGATAATTATGTTGTTGTAGCTTGGGTGTTGCGCCGCGAGATGGCGAAAGTTTTCCTTCACAGAAGTTAAACACTCGCTGTCAGTGATACGTTCCTATAAGAATCATCGAAAGAGAAAATTGCTTCTCTCCGTTGAAGACTACCACAGAGGCATCAGTGCAATATGAGGGGAGATCAAGGCTGATATTCTCTTTCAAATTCTGTCTTATAGAACGAACAATTTCCATTCCTTCTAATCAGAACTGAAATTGAGCCGGCAGAAGAGAATTTAGAATTAAGAGCAGAAATTAGCAAATCAAAACCAATATTGACGAACGCAAAGGAATTAAGTTGACGCTGAAAGTCACTGATCAGATCTGCAATTGAACAAGAGAACAACATTTGAATTATGAGAACATTTCTCTTTTCGTGCGTCGCCACGAGCCAAAAGTGATTTTTGGCTAGACTACCCGTTTTTGAATAATTCAGTACGTCTGAAATCGCCAGACCGCTAAATGTATCCCTTAATCTTTGGGGAACAACCTTTTTTAAAACTGATGTGTCCTAAACCCTTTCCATGGGAAAAAAATGAAAGAAGACTGGCCGAAGAGAATTTAAGAATTAAGAACACAGCAGAAAGCAATTTAGTTGACGCTGAAAGTCACTGATCAGAACCAAAATTGGACCATTAAATGAAAGAAAACTTTTTTTGGACGGGAAATTGAAAGTCGAGAGGACCGCTCCTAGCGAAAGTGGCACTTGAGTAACTTCCCCGGGCCTCACCCGGTTACTCGTGATCGTGACACGTCCCTAGGCCTGATCAGAACAGAAATTAAACAGCGGAAAGATCAGTTGTATTAATTTCTGTCTTGTTACTTTAATTTCTGTCTCATGTCTCAGTTTCTGTTCTTATGATTTAAATGTTGTTCTCTTGGTCCAATTTTGGTTCTGATCAGTGGATTAAATTTCTCTGAGTTGTGTTCTTAATTCTTAAATTCTCTTCAACCCAGGTTTTCTTTCATTTTTTGCCCATGAAAGGGGGTATAGGACACATCAGTTTTAAAAAAAGTTTGGTTGTTCCGTAAAGATTGAAGAATAAATTTGGCATTCTGGTGATATACAGACATACTGAATTATCCAAAAACGGGTAGTCTAGCCAAAAACCACTTCTGGTTTGTGGCGACACAAAAAGAGAGAAGTGTTCTTATAATTCAAATGTTGTTCTCTTGGTTCAGTTGTGACTCTGATCCGTGACTTTCAGCGTCAACTAAATTCCTTTGCGTTTTGTTCTTAATTCTTAAATTCTCTTCTGCCGGTTTAGTTTCAGTTCTGATGAGAAGAAATGGAAATCGTTGATTCTTGACGAAAGAGTTTGAAAGAAAATATTGGCGATGATCACCCCTCATAGTACAAAGCCGTGGTTGCATTTCATTTTCCTTCTTTCTCAATTCATACTATGCTTTACCATAACCAAAATCAAAAGGAAATAACAAGAATATAATCATGCAACCCCGGCCCAATATCAAGAACATGTCGCCCAAGGTTTAACTTATTTTTAATCTTATTTCATTATTGGGCTCGACTAGTCTGGTAGATTTTAGCCAGTTAGAGGTGTAGCTAAAACCTTCAAACGCTTTTATCCTAATGTCAGGGAATATAAAAAACAGTATGTGGTTTTAAGGGGGGTTAGAGGTGGATAGAGACATAAAAGTCAGTTCCAGTCTCCAAGACAGTAAAGACATGTGAAAGGGCGAGCAAACCACAAACGGCGGTTGTGGTTCTCAGGAAAACAGCTGAGCGCGGTTTTTCGCAGGCGATTCCAAACTGGCTGAGAGCCTGCTACAGACTGAGAGATAAGGAGATTTGACATTAGCCTTACCTAGCCCCGATATTTAACATATGTTAAACTTACCATGAAAAAATACTTCAGTTTGTATAGAAACACTTTGTCGGACGGTTGATTCTTTTGACAGAGATGTGGTTATATCATCTAGGGAGGAAGCCTTTTAACAAGGCCTCTGAATGAAATTTCGACCTCACTTGTTCTTGATTTATCAAGCACGTCGGAATCTTTGGTCGATATCGAGATGGTCAAATATAATTTAAAAATTATTTTAACATCAAGTTTATATCTGATCATAACTGTGGCTGTCAGAAATCAACTGTAATCCTTTGAATGTAAATGAAACTAAGTTCACCACTCCTTTATTTTCATTGTATTTCATCTCACCATATTAAGATAACCTTAGATCTCAGTTTTCAACGACTGATTGATGCACAACAGTACTATATCGATGAACCCAAAGTAAAATGTTCGCACGTGCACATCGTGCGCCAGATCCAACGAGTAGTTCCACCTTGGCAAAATTTCCTGTTGCTGGACTTTTCCCGCGCTTTTAAGCACCCCCACATTTTCCCGCGCTTACTTACTGCTTTGTTCTTTCCCGCTCTTTTTCCCAATTTCACCCATTCATCGGCTGCAGTAGCACGCATTCGAGCTGCCACTTTGCTTTACCAAAAGTAGAAGCTCGCGAAAGTTTTTTGTTTCCTGCTTTATAGCAGCCATTACAAGCTAATTTCATACCATAGCCGGCAAAGATTAATTATCTTTGCGAAGATCAAAGAAACGAACGGATGCAACTCAAAGAGTCGTAACTACCATATAATATGTTGATGTCAGTGTTATCTGACTATGCAGTCTAAATAAGTACTACCTGAGTATAGTAACAATACACTTAGCCCTTTGCACTCTAACATCATTATGCATATTCTCCGCACTGTTCTCTATACATATCCTAAGGTGCTGACAAGGAGAATTTGTTTATCAATCAATAGCCTCTTTAATTGGTGATCATTTGTTTTATTCACATGACCTAAATGTGTGATTCTGAGGTGATAATGTAAGGAGAAATTTCATGCTGGTCACTCTTAAGGGTCAACAAAACCTGCGTTGTTTCTGCGATCTCATCACACCGCCGGTGAGATGAGATCCCAGAAACATTGTAAAATTTACGTAGGAAAGAGCGGCTCTTTCCTTCGATCTTTTTATATAAATAGCTGATTTAGCTCAGTTACCACGATTTTCGGTTTTTTAATGTTGCTGTTAGAGTAATCCCCATGATTTTTTTCACGGGAGAAGTTCGTTTTGCTCTTACTGACACCGAAGTATTTTCTGTAAGAAGCAACTTTACAATCATCCATACCGTGTTCAAGAGATCTGTTTATTAACAGAAGCAACAGCACAAGAAATCATGGTATTACTGCGCATGCTTGAGCCCTGTTGTCAAACGGAAAAATTGTTGCGTACTTGTCAAAAGAGAGAAAAAAAAAATCTTAATTAAGGTTTTTGAACTGGAGGATTTCCGGTCCAAAGTTCAATCATCTGAATCAATGAGAAATTCTATACAACAACTTGGCTTGCCCCAAATAAGTAGACACTCTTGCAGGAACCTTCTGTGAAAGTTGAACTGACTGTGAACAGGAAAATATCAGCTGTCTAATTCTTTTTCAGAAATACTTCCAGCAATGAAACTTGTTTGACATGCCTGGGAATATAAGAATTGGAAACAAGTCTATTTTTAGCATTCTTCCTAATAGCTTATGCATATTGAAGACGTCAGTAACACGACAAAAAATAATTAATTAATTTTCCATCAGTCTTGGTGTGTTTGGTTCGTAAGAAAGGTTTAGAATTAATTTTTGTTTTCAGATCAGAGACACTTTGAATTGAAATTTTGTATAAGCTACGCGTCCTGGAAAGCGTAAGGCAAACGCTATTAAACAAAGTAAGTAGTATTTTCGATGACGGTTCGAGACCATTTTGTCAAAATAATCTCAAATCTCTATACTACTCAACATGTTATGGGAATAATTTGCCGAAATTATTAGTAATTATTAGAAATCAAAGAATAACAACTAAGTTTGGGGTATAATTTTTATTTTAAAAAATATCTCAGATAGAATTAATTTCAGTAAAGAAATACACGATCAATTAGATGAAATAAAGTATTAAATTTGTGATTAACAGATTAAAGAACGAGTGGTGGAATTGAGCAATGTTGTCCAGATATGAAAATTAAAAAGGAAAACAAAGAATTTTTTTGTGTGAAATGTGGTCAAATTGATAGATATGAGCCAGACACAGAATTTAATAATTTTCATGAGAATATGTATAAATTTACGAGAAAATCTGTTTATTATATCATAAAAGTGATTTTTATTGTAACAAAAAAATGCCAATTAACGACAAAAAATATGAAGAAGGTATTGGAAAGATTTGAACTGATTGGCACGATCACCAGTGAAGTGATTAATAGTACTCATAACAAAATCAAATATATGTCTATGCCTCTAA